GAGCTGCTTTCCGGCGAAGATCAGACGCTGCTGGTCTGGAGGGATACCCTCCTTGTCCTGGATCTTGGCCTTCACATTCTCAATGGTGTCGGATGGCTCCACTTCCAGAGTGATGGTCTTGCCAGTCAGGGTCTTCACGAAGATCTGCATACCTCCACGCAAACGGAGAACCAAGTGAAGGGTGGACTCCTTCTGGATATTGTAGTCCGACAGTGTGCGTCCGTCCTCCAGTTGCTTGCCAGCAAAGATCAAACGCTGCTGATCTGGGGGAATGCCCTCCTTGTCTTGGATCTTGGCCTTCACGTTCTCAATGGTGTCCGAAGGCTCCACTTCCAACGTAATGGTCTTGCCAGTCAGGGTCTTCACGAAGATCTGCATACCTCCACGGAGACGGAGAACCAAGTGAAGTGTGGACTCCTTCTGGATGTTGTAGTCGGACAGTGTGCGTCCATCTTCGAGCTGCTTTCCGGCGAAGATCAGACGCTGCTGGTCTGGAGGGATACCCTCCTTGTCCTGGATCTTCGCCTTCACATTCTCAATGGTGTCGGATGGCTCCACTTCCAGAGTGATGGTCTTGCCAGTCAGGGTCTTCACGAAGATCTGCATACCTCCACGCAAACGGAGAACCAAGTGAAGGGTGGACTCCTTCTGAATGTTGTAGTCCGACAGTGTGCGTCCGTCCTCCAGTTGCTTGCCAGCAAAGATCAAACGCTGCTGATCTGGGGGAATGCCCTCCTTGTCTTGGATCTTGGCCTTCACGTTCTCAATGGTGTCCGAAGGCTCCACTTCCAACGTAATGGTCTTGCCTGTCAGGGTCTTCACGAAGATCTGCATACCTCCACGGAGACGGAGAACCAAGTGAAGAGTGGACTCCTTCTGGATGTTGTAATCGGAAAGAGTGCGGCCATCTTCTAGTTGCTTGCCAGCAAAGATCAAACGCTGCTGATCTGGGGGAATGCCCTCCTTGTCTTGGATCTTGGCCTTCACGTTCTCAATGGTGTCCGAAGGCTCCACTTCCAACGTAATGGTCTTGCCTGTCAGGGTCTTCACGAAGATCTGCATACCTCCACGGAGACGGAGAACCAAGTGAAGAGTGGACTCCTTCTGGATGTTGTAATCGGAAAGAGTGCGGCCATCTTCTAGTTGCTTGCCAGCAAAGATTAAACGCTGCTGATCTGGGGGAATACCCTCTTTGTCTTGGATCTTGGCCTTCACATTCTCAATGGTGTCCGAAGGCTCCACCTCCAGAGTGATGGTCTTTCCAGTCAAGGTCTTCACAAAGATCTGCATTTTGGATTATTCTGCGGGCAGAAAATTGAGAGATGGAACGTCAGTAAAAATTCAGATCTGATTCAGCTTGGTGAAATTTCACAACTGATTGAATTTCCCCTATGACTAATCGTAATGAACTTTTCGACGCCTGCTTAGTTTTCAAAGTTTAAGTTCAGATTTTCTATCGCTTCGAGTTCTCTTTTCCTCTTTCGGGTTATTTCAACAAAGGGAAATTAAGAAACAGGGGCACAAAGGGAAATTGAGAAACCTTTGTTCCGTTGCTTAGTCACTTTTATGGTGGTGTGTATGCATGTATACGCAGCCGAAAGTGCATACATACACATTTTTCGTGTGTATACCGATGACGTAAAGTTGCAAGCAAATTTAAATTTTTCAGACGTGGCCTTATTTAATTTGAGCAAAAAAGGAATTTACAATTTAGAAACTAAGCCTTGAATTAAGTAAAGTGGTAATGAGATACACACAAGTGCGTATGTGTGCAACTTCTCGAATTTTCAAAGGCGTAATTACGAATTTCACAATTTGCCAATAAATCTTGGCGAAAAACAAACGCAACCTTTATTAATAGATTTGTTTGAGTTTTGATGCCAATTTATTGGGAAATAAGAAATGCGTAGCTGCCAATTTCTAATTTTCTAATTACGCAGAGGGTTGAATAAGAGAAAACAAAATGGCCGAACAAAGACCTTGATATGCACTTTTTCGCTCACATTTGTTACTGCCATTATAATGGTTAAAAACTAAATAAGAATTTTAAAACTTACGTTTTCTTGTGACTTTCGAGAAGATTCTTTTTATTTTAATCACCAACTATTTAAATAATGAATACTCTTTGATAAAATCCGCTTTGCTTTTTTGCTTGTAGTCGCTGCAATTGTCAAATGATTTTTAAACGAATGTCTACGAACGGGGTTCCTACACACTTTCGGTCAATCAAAAATGCACTAAAAAATCTTTATTCGCATTTTAAAACATACCGAAACACTGAAAACAATCGAAGAAGTTACACGTTTTCAAAATCTTGAATGATCTTTGTTTTTTACATTTAATAACTGTTGTATATTTAAAAAAGAAAAATTTTGTTGACCTAATTTTTCGTCTACACGTTCGTCTTGAAAACTCACCACAATATAAAATAATAAAATATTTTGAAACAGTTTCTAAACAAGACCTTGATAACGTACAGACTTAACTGGCTGAATAAAATTCTTTGCTAAGACAACCTACTTTTACTCTGAATTTAAATTCAAGGCATTCTTTGTTTTACTTTTACCAAAACTTTTAAATTTGCTTTACCTTTGGCTTTCCTTTCGTATGGCACTGTGTTCTATACCGACTATAATTTTGATATCACAACCTGACTGGAAGATTTAAAAGTAATTTTGAGCGAGCGTGGAAGTGTTTTAAATGTGTGATGTGCTGAGTGTTAAGACAACGACTGCTTAATACATAGTTCTTATTCAATATTTTTTCGAGTTTGACTTTGCTTAACGGAAACTGTAAACTGATGTATAATCGATCATTATTACTTACAATACTTCAAAATAATTTATTGTAAAACATATTATATTACCAAATAAAAATAAAATTATTTTACCATACTTTAATATATTATTTAATTGAATGGAAATTTTTACAATCAGACAAATTTAATTTAAAGCCCATTATTGTGTAACCATATCTCAGCTAAGTTTATTTTCGTACCATACAACCCGGTCACACTGCTTCCCACCTGCTATCGGCGATTTTTCCATTTTAGACAGCACAGATAGCAAACGTACCGGACGCAAAATGGAGCTCGAGATTGTGAACGCGAAAAATAGCAAGCCGTACGGCAAGGTGAAGGTGCCCTCCGGCGCCACGCCCATCGGCGACCTGAGAGCCCTAATTCACAAGAGCTTGAAGCAAACCCCGGATGCCAATCGGCAGTCGCTACGTTTGGAGCTGAAGGGAAAGAGTCTTAAGGACACGGATACCCTGGAATCCCTGTCCCTGCGATCCGGCGATAAGGTCTATGTTAAAGATTTGGGTCCCCAGATTGGTTGGAAAACAGTTTTCTTGGCAGAATACGCCGGACCCCTCATCGTATACTTACTTTTCTACTTCCGACCAGAGTTGGTCTACGGCAAAGCGGCCTCTTTGCCGATTTCCCTAACCACCCAGTGAGTAATAGAAAGTAGTCGCTGAAATCTTTCGATTTTCGACCTAATCGACCTCGTCGCTTATGCAAACTGAAACGCAACAGCTATGCATAATTATCCACGAACTTTGGATGGTGGTTCACCTAGTAACCCGCTTTCTTTTCTTTTATTTTCAGCATTGCCGCCGGCTGCTATACGGTCCACTATGTGAAGCGTCTGCTGGAGACGATCTTCGTCCATCGATTCTCACACGCCACCATGCCCCTAAGAAATCTCTTTAAGAACTGCACCTACTATTGGGGATTCACCGCCTATGTGTCCTATCATGTGAACCATCCTCAGTTCACCTCGCCCTGCATGTGCACTGTTTGGGCGGCTCTTGGTGCCTTTGCTGTAAGTTTTCGGGTCTATGGTTTATGGATTTGGGTTATGTGTTTCCGTAATGTACCGGTTTTTTTTTTTACATTTCGACACCGCTGTTGTATAAAAATTTGGGTCTGAATCAAAAAAGATCGTAACTTTTTGTATGTTATTTGAAGCTTAAATTTATTTTTTTTATTTAAAGTTCGTTTAGCTAATAATATTTTTTTTAGGGAAGACCTTTTATTCATTTACTTTTGAATAAGTTAATAATAATTAACATATTCTATAATCAACTGAATAGGAACATAATCATTACCTAGAATCTTATTAGATAGGTTACGAAATTTGTCAGCATTTCCCATCCCAATACTAATTAGTCATATTACTAAGAGCGTTTATTTAAGTAAAGCTTAACTTTTTAATTATATACAATTTTGATATTGAAGTGTAAAGTATTATTTAAGTATTTAAGTAGCACTTTTAATAGACTTCCAATCTAACCCCTCATATTCAATTTTTAGCTCTGCGAACTGGGCAACTTTTCGGTGCACATTGCACTGCGCAACCTGCGTCCACCAGGAACCAAAGTGCGCAAGATTCCCGTGCCCGATGGAAATCCCCTAACCAAGCTGTTTGAGTGAGTAAATACGTTATCCATCAGTAGATCAATATTAACAATTTGCATTTCCCAAACTTTAGCTTGGTTTCTTGCCCCAACTACACCTATGAGATCGGTGCCTGGGTTTCCTTCTCAGTGCTGACTTCTTGCCTGGCTGCATATCTGTTTGCTTTCGCTGGAGCTTTCCAGATGACTGTTTGGGCTTTGGCTAAGCACCGCAACTACAAGAAGGAGTTCAAGGACTACCCTCGCCAGCGACGCTCCATCTTCCCATTCGTCTTGTAGGATGGATTCGGATGTCCCATGACGCATTCGTTGTATTACCTATTCCACATTACACATTTATACATTTTGGCTAGCGTTTAACAGGGTAGTTGACTAGTGAACTTTGTGCTTTCGTTTATTTAAAGCAAATACAAATTGGAGAAGCGTATAGACCTAGTGGTGTGCATTTTTTGTCGCTTTTTGGACTTTGACCGTATGGGCAGTTCTATGAAGCGCGGCTAATCAGTAATAGTTTATTTGGTGTTTTTATAGGTTCGCCAGGTATCAGTAAATAGAAAAATGTGTGTAACGACCGTGGGTTATTTGAATTTCGTATGTTTCATTTCTTTAAAACCTGCAGACAACTCATAAAATCTGTTTTTTTTATGATATTTACGATAAAAACAACTTTTTAGATAATTAAATTAAATTGTATATTTTGTTTTGATCATGAGTATAAAATTTAAAAGGCGCGCCCTCTAGGGTTGCCACACTCTCGTGTTTAATACTTGTTGGCAAATCTGACGAAGCTAAGTTGGCTGTTGCTAAGAATTTCTTGTGTTTACATTTTGCCGGCAAACTGAATATTAGAACTTGCGTGCTTTAATTAATCATGGATTTGTTTGAGGAGTTGGACACCTTGGAGCCCTCCTCCAAGCTTGATCCTCCCCGCATCGAAACGCCAACGGCACACAAGATAACCGTGCTGATATTGCTTAAGCAATATGTGATTGTAGGTGCACCTATGTACTTTTTACACTTTCAAAATCCATTTTTTCTATATATTTATAGCATAAGAAGTCTTGTTTGGACACTGGCATATCCATGCGCACCCAGCGACGCCGAATGTTTTATATGCTGGTTTTCAAACTTGTCCAGGAGGCGGATAAAAGTTACAATGAGTTACATAGTTTGCTGACCACAGGAAGATACAAACTGGATACTCTAATGCTGGAATCTTTTGAAAAAGCAATGTCTGAGTTCTGTGCTGGCAGCATCGAATCCTTGTTTGACTTCGCTGAGATCCAGAATATAGATGAGATTCTGAACGAAAACTACGGCATTAGCCAGTTCAGCATGGTTGGCATTTATGTCCGTAGAGTGGGTGTAGTCCTAGAGCGCCTTAGTTTCCCAGAGATGATGGATATGTACAAGAACATCTGCACCTATTACGAAAGGGGAGTTCGAGCTGCTGCTTCCGGTTCCAGAATATCCGTAGCTGGGGGAATCCTGCACAGAGAAGATACTCCACCTCCAAATCCTACATCAGAAAAGCCCGTAGATCCTCAAACAAAGAAAAAAGTCGAGGTCATTGCTCGAATTGCTCAAGAACGCAATCCTCTGAGCATATGGGCGCCGAAACAGGCAAAGTTCTTTATCAACAAGCAGTCGGAACTCTTGGAAAGCAACGAACGGAAGGCTTTGCCTCCCTTGGAACTCCAAAAAAAGGTTCAGGAGATCATTCACGACCTGCCACTTATAACTACTCCCTACTTTCTGGGCTACATGAATCAGTTAAGAGTCAGGGATTACTATAATGCACTCTCTGCGCTTCACAGAGCTTTGGACAGAAGTCCTGTGAGGCTTATGAGCCAGGAGAAGGGCTACCAGTACTTTTGCGTTAATCTAGCAGTGCTACATGCCACCTTTGGTCATCGTGATGAAGCTCTCGCAGCGCTAAGGGAAAGTATAATGCTTGCCCAGGAGCACGGTGACAAAAGGAGTCTTAACCTGGCCAATACTTGGTACTGCCTGCTCAGAGATGAGCTCCCCTTATCCGCTGTTCAAAAGAGCGTACAAGAAGCAAACGAAGTTGATGGTTCTCTGCTGCAGAACTACACTTTAGCTCTCCATTTCGCTGTAAAACTTGGAACAGTGGCTGGATATCAACCTTTAAGGCTTTTCGATCTCCTCCAGCACAGCGATAATCTCACTAATCGTAACAACTTTGCGGATCACGCTTCAGAGGCTCTGGCTTTACGAAGTGCTGTGTGGTCTGCTTACGGAAGGCATGAACTAGCTGCTTTGTACTCCCAAGTTTTGTTGACAGCCAGAGATCGATTTGGCAATGGATCTGCAGGACTAGGAAGCGCTTTGGCCAGTTACGCCCTGTGGCTTCAGTTGCAGGGAGAGCCCCAGTTGTCGAAAGTACTCCTTCATCGTGCGAAGGAGCGTTTTTCGCGGTTGCCCAGCGCCGAGGGCTGGATGATCAGCCAGTGCCATGTAACTATTCAGGCGGGAATTTACCAATGCCGTTGGCATGATGCATTAAAAGCCTGTGATCAGCTTTATTTACTAGATCCCTCAGATGCCATAATGCAACGAGCATCTATATACGTGGCCAAGCGAGAGTTCTTTAACGCTAGGCGCCTCTTGGACAAGCTGGCCTCTCAGGATAATTTACCTTTTCTCCAAAAGATGAGGGTTCAAGTCTTACTTGGATATTGTGGCATGGCAGATGGTCGTTTTTCGAGCGAAACTACTATGCTTCTGCTTCGCGTGGCTGAGGATATGGCCGACTCACAGATGGATTATGAGCTGGCTTTGGTGGATCTACTGCTAGCACAGCAACTACTGCTCCTTGGAATGCCACAGAAGGCCTATCAGGCAATCAAACGTTGCATGCACGACATTCACATCAATGGTGGCCTCTATGAACGAGCCAAAACAGATTTCGTGTTTGTTCGCTGTCTGCTGGCCATTAATCAAAATAATGTGGAGGAGCGAAAGGCGCAGCTTCTTAAATCTCTGGACATTTTGGAGCGTGCGGCTCAGTCCTTCAAGAAACTCTCTGCTCATTCCAAAGTTTTGGATGTTTATGTTTTCCTGGCACAGCGATTCAACGAATTCGGGGAAAGGAATTTGAGGAACAAGTACGCTGGAGAATTCCGACGATACTTTACGGATCATCCGATTCCTAGGGAATATTTGGGCAGCCCTTAGTTTCAATTCGATGATAAACTCTAAATAAACGTATTCGTAAAACTACATCTACTAGATACACAAGGAATAAATCTACTGGATTTTTAACTATTAATAAACGTAGTTTTATTAATTGGTTTAAACCGTAGTGTTTGCTTTGTTTATACACTGTACGCCAACTACAATGCTAACACCTATCTGAAGTTTTTCAACTGCTCGTTTCGATCGAAGAGGGCGTCCTATTTAGGTCCGGGATTTCTGGGATTGTGAATGCGTAAATGCTGGGCTATGGAGTGGCATTTAATGAATAGGTGCTATTTTGTAGAATTACTATTGCATCGGCCATTTGTGGACGTCCTTCGCCTTTCGATTTCGACTGGGATTGATTGGTATCGACAAACTTAAGCTAACGTGTGGCAATTTCCGGATTTCCGCTGCCGGTTATCGTAGAGCTAATATGCGTATGTGGTAGAGTATCTCTCGGTTAACGAATCAAGGGTAAGCTGGGCGAGGATCCTCCGGGACCCATCGCGCTGCCGGGTCCAAGAAGAACCTGCTTCTGCTGCGACTTATGCAGCTCCTCCATCTGGGCGCGCTCCGTCTCAAAGATGACCGGGGCGAACAGAATGACCGAGCTGGTGAAAAATATCCAGCTGGCGCTGCACGAGAACGAGTAGAATCCCTTGATGCCCTTCACTGTGGCGTTGCTCACGGCACCGACTGCGTTTCTCAATGGTTCCGGGAACATCTCTGTCAGGCCCCAGAAACGCTCAGACGCCGTCTCATCGGGTTCCTGGATGTAAATGAATTTGAGTATTAGTGAATTTGATAGAAAGTAAATAGTAAACAAGAAATGATCATAACTAATGTGATGTATGCGTAAAAATGTTTCTAATAAAAAAGAATACAATATTTTCCTTTTAGTTTTGAAGTATGCAAAGAATTTCAGATGATTCACCATCTTTATCAGTGGTCATTAAGAGATACACATTTTGAATGAAAGCGAATTCCAAAATACTTTTGGGCTTAAACAAACTGAACTGAGATTTTTAGAAATACAAATTCAACAACCCAACTAAAGTTACTTAATAAAATCTTAGGCATGATGAACGAACTTGTTAAAAAAACCTACTTCTACATTCTAAGAAGTAAATGATGGACAATGAACTTTATCAAGTGCACGTTTTGGTCAACAGCTGATACATTTGATGGGAAAGTAACAAAATTAACATTTCTGAACTTAGCTAATCTACTCTAAAGTACAGGATGCCTTTATAATCTCTTTTCAGCTAAAAACCCCTAAAAAGTCCTTTTTGTATTGATCCCTCATTAACTTTGAGGTTAGATTGCGTGTTGTGTTTACAAACAGGGTCCACTTACATCATCGTAGTTCTCGCCTTGTGGCTCATTTGTAGTCTGTAAAAAATAAAAGGGAAAACAAGATCATTAGTATAGGGTATTAAGTCAGTCGCTTTTGTGCTTCAGATTGACCGCCAATTACGTGAGCACGATAAGAAACTGAGGAGGAATCAAGGGGTATTGGATTCCAAGGGGGTTACAAGGGGCCACCACGTTTTTACTTACGGCGGCCACTGCCCGCCGCTCGGGCGTTTCGTCCTTGCTGCCGCCCAACGACGACATCCCGCTGTCCTTTTCAATGAACTCGATTTCAGGATCTGAGTCCATCAAATCCTCGATTTTCACTGTTTCGGTATCCACTTTTGCGGCTTTGAATGAACGCACACGGTCGGAAAACGAGGGTCTCTGCTCTTAGCAAACCCTTCAAAAGAACACCCAAAGATCTTATCACCGAAATAGCTCGCAAAATGCAGTTCGCACTGGCATTTAATTGAGCTTTAGCGGAATTTTCGTTCGGTTAAAATTTCAATAAAAATTGATTTTATTCCGTGTTCTCCTCGTGAGCTTAGTGGTGGAACTCTTAACGAAATGTGCCTATTCGCGTTAGCTATCGATATATCGCGACGCAATGGTGAGAAATCTCATAACGCGTACGGGATTTTTTAATTTTGAAAATTATTCATAACGCTTTTTGATTTTGTTTTTAATTATTTATAAACGAAGGAGCAGTACCCATAAGGCAGACGTATATGTTGACTCACCTTTCCCTCAGGTTCACTCATTGTCTTTAGTTAACCGCGTTATAGTTTTAAAATAAAAATAAGCACAATATTTTGCGGAGAGCCAGAAATTTGGAAACGTTTTCAAATCGAACAGCACAATTTTACGGGCACAATCTGAATGTCTCAGCTGACGGTAAGTGGAAGAGCCTACTATTATTAATAAAACATTCATTGAGCGTTGGTGTATCGTTATTTATTATGTCACATCTCGTTATCCGACTTGCAATCGCAATTATAAATTATGAAATTATTAATATACCTAAACCAAATGTCTACCACTTTAAGTACGCATACATAATGTTTAAACAGTAATAGTGTATATAAGTAGTATATTGTTGGGTAGGTATATAGTCCTGCATATAGTTGTTAAGCACATTTAGAAGTCATAAAAAACTACTTGAATTGAAGTACATTTTTGATTAGGTTTAAATTTGCTTTGCCCTTTGCAGTCCTGTTGTAAATACCATACAAAAGTTGTGGTTTCCTTGTTTTGCTTGCCTTGCGTTTGTCCATTTTGCTATTTGTACCTTTGACCTGATTTATATTTGCTTTACCCAACTTTATCCATATAGTGTTTTTAAATGTAAATATATATTTGAATTCTCGTTTCACTGATTTTTCAAAAGAGCACTTTTGTTAAATATATTCTTGATTTAATTTAATTCTCTGTTCATTATTTTGACTTCTCTAAATTTTTTTGTATCAAAAAAGGGCATACCAAATCAATAAAAACTTATTGTTTGAAACCGCAATGCCTTAAATCGATGAATTTAAATAGTTGTACAAAATTATTTTGTATTTCTTTGTGAATTATCTATGGGACGGCAATATGCAATGGACTTGAATTTCGAAAATAAATTTTAAAACGAACGAAAAGAAATGAATAAAATTGTAAATTACTAGACTTTGAACTATGTCTTCTTAGAACTCTGAAATGTTCTATTCGGGTTGTTGGTTATTGGTAAATTATGTTTTCATTAACATTTAATATAATTCTTCTGGTTTTTAAGCCTAATTAGTACAGCTGTTAAAGCATCGATAATTCTTTAAAGATGTTTTGCAATTCTTTTAGTTTTTATAATCAATATTAATATTGAAATTTTCGATGTTTTTACAGCTCTACCAAGTTATTTCCCAACTAAAATTAAATCTTCTCTTTTCTTATATAAATTGTTAACATTTATTTCCTTAGTCTAACAAATTTGAAACAATTTTTGTTTGTTTTTGGGGTATTTGAAACACGCATACATTGAAAGCAGCATAACTACAATAAAATACAAATATATGAATCCACTTGCTGGCCTTCTCTGAATTTGGATATATATTTTTATTGTAATTTTCATTTGTAATTTCTCCGTTTGCCTGCTCTTTGTTTTCGCAGCACCCTAAACACAATATCACTCACGCGCTCAGACTTATCCGAATATGCATTTTATATGTTAAATGTTTTTGTGTGTGTGTGTGTGTGTGTGTCTGTGTCTCTGTGTGATTTAAATCATTTTCGACGCGAAACGTCTACAAAAAATAGTCCTAACTTTTCCATTTCAATTTTTCCACATGCTGATTTAACTTAATTCATAGAGAAAATGAATAATTCACTTTTTACAATCGACAAAACTTCGAAACTAATTTACATATGTATATGTTTTGTGTGTGTGTATATGTGGGTGATGAAACTAAAACATTATGGGTGTGTGTGTGGCCTGCCTTGCACTTTTTTCAAACCCTTGTATAAATAAGTTTTATTTTTTTTTTTTTTGTATAAAATTTCAAACAATTACGTTCTGCACATTTTGTTGCATTATTATTTTCTGCTTGTCTGAGTATATAGTATTCTTAATAGCTTAACAATTATGCTGAAGGGGTAACTCGGGGTGCATTCCACTCGAAATTTTCGGGGTTACGGGGTTGACCATGCCACCTTTTCGGGCGTAAAACTGCTTAGAGCAAAAGTCTCGTAAATTCTGAAATTAAAATAGGTAAAATGAAAAGAGAGTCCATTAAGTATAATTGTTAGAAGAAATTATCTTGATTTTGTGGAAAATATTTTAAATTAAGTTAATTTTTATAACTCACTTCATTTTCTAAATCTCAACCAAATAAACCTCTAACTGCTAACCAGTTTAATGATCAAATTAAATGAAATAAACCTGCAGCCAGTCAAAGGACCATTTCCCTTGACAGTTTTGTCCACCGAGGCAAAAACAGTTTACAGATGAGATATCCAAACTATATAAGCTGTCGCCTCTGGGTAATCACGCCTCTGAAAGAACGAACTACGCTTTTTTACGTGGTGGTCCCCCGGAGGCGGCGTACGTGTTGCTCTGGCCAATCGACCCGTTCCACGGCCAATTCCCAACAACACTGCTGTGTCAGCTAAATGGAACGGACAACGTTGCGTATACCGAATAACGTATAACGTATACGCAACGTTGGCCGTTGTCGATGCCGGTGCAAAGTAAATAGCGTGAAGGCAAAGGCAGCAAAATGAGTAAATAAATTCCAGATGCCAGCAAACAAATGCGGGCTGCGGGCAGCCGAGCCTTTCGAACTTTGCTGAACTGGGTGGACTTTGTAGGCGGGCGGTTTGCTGCTGACATGTCAATGCGTTACAAGGTCAAAGTATCAACTAGCGAGGCGATGGCATATGAACCTAATGATACAGAGGATTCCACCACAGGCACACACCTCACTCAACAGTAGCAAAAAAAAAAAACAGAAAAAACCAACTACAAAGAGGACATTCGAGCCGAGCATGTCCCAGTATTAGTTTAAGTTTATTAAACCAATTTAATGCCACGCAAGGGAATTCTGTGCTGCCTTTTTTTGCCATTAGTGCAGAATAATAAGTGGGTGGATCTCGAGGTGCTGCTTGTATTCCACTTCATTCTGGGTCAACTGCATTATGGACTCTTTATTCTGCTTGCTTTATGTTTGTAGCTATTTGCTTTATCAAAAAGTTTTTTATGTCTAAAACTTAAGACCCCAGGTACTTTTTAACAATAACTATGTTTACAAGGTGCCTTTGAGGTGGAAAGTTCTTCTGGTATAGGAAGAGCTACACAAAATTTAAAGGGATTTTTATCTTTAACTTAGTATACTTTTTTAATGAGTTTAACAACTGATTACAGGCTGATTGATACATTGTATTCGCAATACCCTTACTACCCATTATAGTTACTGCAACCCTCATAAAGTACTAGTTCTACTTTCTAAGGACTTAATTCACCAACCGAATAAACCCAGCCAAGTCGCGAGTGGAGGGCATAAAAAACTTTACGAGTAAACAAACAAATAAACCTTCGGCCGTATTAGGTGAACTCCTGTTGCTGTTACTTGAGGTTAATAAACTTTGTTGTCGCCGTATTTGTCTAGCTGATTTATGGGCGTAAGGTTTTCGGTGCGTAGGACAAATATTGACATGAGTTTGCCATATTTTATGCCATCACTTGATTAAGGCTCAGACAGGCGCAGCTGCAGTAGAAGCAAGAGCAATTCGAAGTTTTATATTTTCAAAAATCCTTAAAAAATGTAGAATTTCAAAATCAAAAAAGGATTCAAGTTCGATCTAATGGCTTAAAAAAAAGTAAGTGGGTATTTAAATCCTAATTTACGACTGATTTGAATGGTCTATTTTTGTCGGTGCACACATGTCCTTCCATGCGAACGCCTGCGTCAGCAGTGTCCTTTGTCTGCGGCTGCACTCACCCTCGTAATTGATGCGCCCGTCCTGATCCAAGTCCGCGATGACCAGCAGCTGCTCCAGCTGCTGCTCATTCAAGGGCTCCCCAATCATCTCCATGGCGGTCTGCAGCTCGTCGCGCGTTATAAACCCATTACCATCCCGATCGAATACTCTGCAGAACGGAAAATCCAGATTATCAGGGAGTTTGAAGGGATTGAGGATATGCTAAACACTATATATACCTAAATGCTGCTATCAAGTCCTCGGTGACATCATCGGCCTCGTCCACCGGCTTGCTGTCCTTGCTGTCCTCATGTGACTGCTGGTCGTCCCGCAGCGCCTGGATCCTGCCCACCCACTGCAGGAACTCGGCCTCGTTGATTAAGCCATTGCCTGCGAATCGGAAGAGAAGGAAGTCTGGCTGAGAAATAGGGTCTTAGGAAATTTCTGGAAAATCTAGACAGTAAGCAAGTGCAACAGTAGGGTTTTCCGGCTTTCCAGTGAAAACATTTTCTGGCTGCAGTAATTGAATGCACTCAGAAAAATGATTGGGCTATCCTTTCCATTTGCAGTTTAAAATTTAAAATTTTGTTCATTTTTGATGCGAAAGTTGGTTACCGCAGATTTTCCTCTCACAATGACAAAATTATGCCTATAACTTAGCCAATAATGGTCTGAATATGGAATGTGATACCTTGCTAATCTCGTAATTAAAATTCCAACAAAACTGTGTTCACAGTTTAAAATGTGAAATTTTGGCCGTTTTTTCCAAAAAAGATGATGTTACCCCTTATCGAAATTGCGAAAATGAGTTTTCTCAGATTTTCCCCTCAAAATCTCAGTATTATTGCCATAACTCCGCCAATAATGGTCGGAATATTGAATGTGATACCTTGCGAAACTCGTAATTAAAATTCCAACAAAACTGCATTCACAGTTTAAAACGTAAAAATGTTGCCAATTTTTTCATATTTTGATGATGTTACCCCTTACAAAAAATTAAGAAAAATGTCAAAAATTAAAATTCCCAAAATCACCAAACGAATGATGAGGAAAGTTTGTTTCGGTCGTTAGAATCACAAAACAGTCATTCTCTTAGCTCTCCGTCTTGTTTTGACTAAGTTATAGGTATGAAATCGATAAAAAGATAGCGTTTTCTGTCAGAAATCATAAGTCTGATTGTCTCCCCAAAATATCACAATTCTTCCCACCGAAAAGCCAAACACGAACGGAGTATGGAGTGTCATACATCGCTGGAATCGAAATTAAAATTCCAACAAAACTGCATTCACAGTTTAAAATGTTAAAATTTGTTAATTTTTTGCAAATTTTGATGATGTTATCCCTTATCGAAAATACGAAAATTGGTTTTCTCAGATTTTCCCCTCAAGTCTCAGTATTATGTCCATAACTTCACCAATAATGGCCCGAACTAGGAATGTCATACCTCGTTGAGCTTGTTTCCCAATTCCTACTCAAACTGCATTCACAGTTTAAAATGTCAAAAAATTTTTTATCTTTCTTCAGTGGATTTCGTAAATCCTAAATATAATTATTTCCCGTGTAAGAGCTGCTGGTAACATTTTCCACAAACACTTTTCTGGGCACAAGAAAAAATGCATTTTCATTGTTGGAAAATGTTTACACGCCTCAATCCTTAGCAACGAGGACATCCTTTGTTGGCAGGATATGCTCGGAAGGCTTCCTCCTGCGCCAATCCTAATGCGCCCAGGTGGTGGCATTGTCAGAGGCATTTCCGGCTGAGATCTCTGAGACCATTAACAATCCAAAAAAAAAAAAAAAACGAAATAGAAATAGAAAAAATAGGAAAACGAAAAATCAAAACCAAAGCCAAGGGAAAATCCTAAGCCGAAAGCTGCAAGTGAACGCTCTCAGTGGGAATGGCTCAACTTTCCTCTGCCGCTGAAACTTTTATAATTAAACGTAGAAGATACGGCGTCCGGAAAACCTTTTGCGCCCTGCTCTTCGGCCTTGACCTTCACTGTGATAACAAGAAAAAAAATAATAGAAAAATATAAAAGGGAAAACAAGTGAAAAGGAGCTCTCACTGTGCGAATAGCAGCGAAAATGAAGTCCAAATCTGTGATAATCTTCACTCGCATAAATTTCGGTGGCAAGTGCCATGGGATGGACCAAAAAAAAAAGGGGGGTTTGTATATCATCTCGCTTTTTCATCTCTAATTGCAATTTGTTTGACCAAACCGCAACCATAATTAGAATTGCTAATTTATTTGTCTGTTGAAAGCAAAGAAATAGACTAGGGAAAGATTACATAACGAAATTAAATCAAATGGCAATAAAGAACACAATGAAGATGGTTTTAAATCAGGTTTTAAGGGAGTGATTTCATAATTTAAATAAATTTGCTGTCTTAAAAATAACCAACGGAGAAATAATAAGTAATAAGTAAGTGCTCCTTACTCTGCAACATACTCTAACCCATTTTCCCTATCATTTTCACGTCTTCTAATTAATTTTACGCTCCCTTTTAGCTGGTTAAAAATACATCAAGTGTAGAAAGCCCAACCGCAGCCCTTTTCGTAAGAAAAGGTTAAGGGATTTCTTTTTCAACTGGCAGAAAAAGAACTGCTGGTAATTACCGGAGGACACTTCGTTACTCCCATCATTCAGGCATCAAAAACGCATTAAGGGTCAAACAACCGAATCCGGATCAATTAGACAGTGCACCCAGAGAGTTCCTTGGCCTGGGGCCAGCTAGCAAAACAAAGTTCCACACTCAACTCTCTGGCGGAATACAAATATTGCTCCATCGTCAACATATCAACATATCACGATGATTGCTTTGGGTATTTGCTCATATGTTGCCACCCAACATGGTCATACATGACCCATTATTGTCATCCCCAACGACCCGAATGGTTTGCCATCTTCTTCCTTTATTTGCCATTTTCCTAGCGCAGTTTTCCCTTGTATTCTTGTCGCCCTGACATCTGGTTGACATTTGTGTGTCGGCGCTGCTTGGAAAATATTTTCATTTGCGCTTAGCGGCTTTCATCCTACTTGGAGGTCCCTTTCCTTTCCCTTTCTTAAGCGGGACATGTTATTTCTTGGGATACAGGGTAGGTTTAAGCTATAATATTCGAATTTTTCTTATAAAAAATAATAAAAATAAGTTAAAAATTTATGGTCTTCTTCAGTATTTAAGGAATAAATAAAAATTAAATATTATAAGCCCAAGACAGGGTATCCCTGATCAACTCTCTTAGTTTCCTTCTTCTAAGGACTGCGGGTTTCGTAAGATTCCCTCCCATCTCAAGGGCCAAGACCCCATTCTTGAGAGGCCTTCCTTTCAGATGTCTTCCTCTTGAGCTCTTTTTTTTTTAAATGCGAAAACCAAATGCACATTATCTCTATCTCTGCCTCTATCTGCGCCAATGTCTGTGTCAGCCTGCGAAAAGGACAAGTCCAAGGATAATGAAAATGGCTTGGTTATGTATGTATGTTGATGTTGACGTTGCCGCCATTGTCATCGTTTGTCGTCCTCTTTTTTTTTGAGCCATAAGGACGAAGGCGAGGGCGTTTCTGGCTGCGACTGTTTGTCGCACATTTCGGTAATGTCCTGCATACAACGTGTCCTGTGGAAGAGCGCCTGCCACATACATATGTCGGTGCTCACTTGGCTCGTTAGGCAGAGCAACGAATTTTCAAACTTGACCTGCAGTTGGGAGCATTCCTTGGCATTGATCGATAGCTGAGGAAAGCAGAAAGTTTTTCAAGAATACGTCTTATATTTGTTAAGTTACCCAAGACTTAAATGGAGTTCGCTTTAAGCTAAAGTATTTCTTGATAGTTCTTCAAACTTAAAGCTTTCGTACTACTCTTTCCTTAACTGCAGCTGCCACCTTTTTGGATGTCTCCATTTCAATCACAGATCCCTTACGGTTCATAGGCTGCCCTCGATGAGAGACATCCAATGACAACCGGCATAACAAATGGCCACTGCGGTCTGCCAGTGCAGTCCTTTCGGGAGGTGAGAGAGGGGATCCTGCGGAGAAATGTGGAGGTGTGTGGCAACAACTTCATGCCAAAGTGTAATCAATTATTGGCAAATGTAGCTGCTGGTTGTAGCTACTGTATAGTAGCAGTAGTAGTAGTGGTAGGTGACCTCATGCCATAGCAAACGGAAACGGAAGCTAGCCCGGGGGTTTTTGTGATGGGGGAGGAGCCACCACCGCACCAACCATGTAAGCCATGGAACTTGTTTGATTGTTGCTCTGCAGTGAGACGACATTTGCCCACATTTGGGCTTGTAAAACAGGCAATAAATGCTGACTAATACACATGAACGACTGCCTTTGATGGCCAATAAATTACCTTGCAGTTTGGCCATTAATTAAATCCCGTCAAAAGGCAACACTGCGTATGTGCAATGTCTGCTGGTAATGGAGGAGAATCCTCTTTGCCTTGGCCGAAAAAAGGAATGCAGTTCAAGGCAGCGATTTTTAGGACTTCAACTGAACTTTGAACTTAGTCTTGGCCATTTTCGGTGGGGATTTTATTCGTTGCCAGCCATTTTCTTTCAGCTTGCTCGGCAATTTTCAAGGAATTTTCGCTGCTGGCATTTTAAGCTGTATTTAATTTGGCTCCTGACTTCCTTTTTAGCCCTTGGTTATGTAAATTTCGGCCAGGGGTCTTCAATGAAATTCGATTAGGGGCAAATGCACCAAGGTTACTTTGGTTCGGTGGGTGGATTTCTGATGGTCGGGTGGTTGTGCAATTGCCACGACAGTTGTTGCTAATGTGAAGCCCAGTGGTTGTGGTTTTGGCCACGGCAAACTAATTTAACATGGCAAAGATACACAGACACACACACTCAGAGAGATTCCCCGCGGGCCTGGCTTTGACAGTTAACAACTTGGCTAATAGGAAATTTAATGGCTTACAGCTGGCGTTTATGTGGATTTAGCGCCTAATAGCAGGCCGAACCACCTGCAGCCACAACTCCCAATACCAATTAATTGTGCGGCCTAAAAGCGAGCTACAATTATTTTTAAATAGCGCTTAGAGCTCAGAGAAGTAATAAACTTTTAAATGGCAGCCAACATAAATTGTCCATGCTCTAGACTTAAGCGGCGATTGACCTCAAAAAACCGTGGAAAACTCGACCAGAGAAGCAGTGGAAAAGCGCAAAAGGAAAAACTGTTGCTTGCGTGCTTCGCGTTCAACGAATAAATAAGGCCAAGAAAAGGCTCTGCCAGGTGGTCACTTAGCAAAGTCAAAATGGCTTAATCAGCGTCTTCCCGGCCCATTTTATTTAGGCCCCTGTCCCTAGAGAGTGTCATTGAATCCTCAGGAATGTTAATGAAGCCATAAAGTGCACGCTTTAAGCTACATTCTGCCAGCTTGGTTGGGCCTTAATCGAAGTGCTGGCCAAGTGAATATCAAAAACAAAAAACAGAGTCAAGTATGTCTTTGTCTCTGGTATCTTGAGGCCATTTATGGGCAAAGTTGCTGGCATTTTATGTTGATTTGGTAGCCTTTAATGGGGTCAAGGACCTTCTCAATATGCATTTTAAAACAGAAAAAGTTTGGTATTTGCCAAGCAAATATTGGAGATTATTTATGGCTTACGTTGTAAACTATCGAAAAGTTCAAAAAACTGTTAAAAAATATGTGTAAATAGGAAATTTGATTTATTTTGGAAAATCCCATAATTTTAGATCGGATTTGTCTGTAAATTCCATTGAATTTTGGCAGCAAACAGCACCCTTTTATTTTGTCTGTCTGGCACATGTTGCTGCCTGTGCTCCGAGTATTGTTCGCTGTCAGCTTACAGGTCTCCCAGAGGCCAACATTCACACACACACACATGTGGCAAGGGGCGTGTGCAACACTCGTCTGCTAGTGGCAGGCATCAAAACATGCCCCTTTCGCCGCAGGACCCCAGGATGCCCAGGACTTTGCTGTCCTGTCTGGAGGGCTGTCAGCAACAGTTGCCTGCTTTTATATGATAAATGTCACTCGCCCGCAAACCAATTCCCATGAAAATCCCCGTGGCCTTTTCCCCCTAAACGTGACCGAGTTTAAATTTACAGCATAACCGGTGCAAACTGCAGACTATCGATAAGAGCACCTAATGCAATGGACAAATATTTGAATTACCTGTGAAGCGATTAACCGAAACTCAATTAACAGTGTCGGGCAAACAAAAGTGACACAAATAGGCTTCTGGCCGCACGCACTATCTTTAATTTATGCCAACACTTGCAAAATTGCAATGTCAACTAAGTCATTAGTTAGCTTTTAGGCTGGTAAAGGTTATGATAATCAATCTATTAAATACTTCTATAAGGCATTGATATAAGTTGCTTATCATTTCTGAGACCTAATTACTTACTCCCAACTTATTGAGCTTAGCAAAACTAACTTTCGTTCAGTGCACTTTATTAAAATGCTGTCTATTTAAGGATAAGTCCATTATTGACGTGAACACGTTTTGACCACGACAACAATTGCATTTTAATGGAGGAAATTCAATTTTCTGCCAGGTTGCCCTAATTTAATTTTAATATGCGCAACTGGACAAAATTGATGAATGAAAAATAAATAACATAAATTTTCTGCATCGCAAGTGTCCTGTTCACCCTCCGTTTATCTTCCAGCATTTTTATCGGGCGAAGGAAGTGCTTTTACAGCTCTCTGAGTTGGCTGGGGAATTTATATAATAAAAATTGCATTTCCTAACGAGTAAATTAAATGAGAAAAACTTCAGACGCCTAGGGATAGAGCAAGAAAACTGTGCTGTGAAAGCGGCTTAAAGATGATTCCTTAGCTGTCGTAATAGTTGCTTGTTATTAAATTTCCCTGAAAGATTGCCATGTTACGGAAAGTTTATTAATAAACGTGACAGTATATCACATAAATATTGTATTTTCATAACATTCCTAGTTTCCTTGAAGTTTAAATCACTTTAAAAACATGAAAAACTCATATTTGTGACATTTTGTTTACCTCTGGGAAATTAATACAAAAAGGTGACTTTTTCAAGCTATTTATTTGTGTCCAGCCTGGTCTTAACTTGATTAAATGCTGGTAGAACCAATCGACATGCCTCGGTGGGTTTAATTAACGTCTCCCCATGGCGCTTCAAATGCCAATGGTCTTTGTGAATTATTAAAAGGGCAGACAAACAAATACTTTCACGGGGACAAACTGTTGCACTTTGTGTCGTCCACAGGTTGTTGGCAAGGTGGCCAGGCGGAAGGGACGAGGACCTGGGACTGGGCCACATGAAGTGGTCCCATAAGTGGCACTTACCTGAGTGGCTCGCCTCACGTATGAGATCGTGTATGAGTTCGTCACTCACGTTTATGCCCAGGTTCTTTAGCATAAACTGCAGCTCGTTGGCGGTGACGCGACCGTCCCGATTTCTGTCTAGTAGATCGAATGCTGTGCGTAGATCTGAAATATTATACAAAACACAAAAATAAATCATATAGTTAGTAAGGGAATACGAAAAACGTTAAAGAAATTTACTTAATAAATTAAGTAACAGGCAGCTAAAACAACTTTTTTCATTAAGTTTCCAAAGAAGCTAGTTTAAGTTTATCAGAAATCTTTCACATTCCATTGCCACTTCTAAGAAAATACATTTATTTAATCCTCTATGTAGGGCTTTTCCCAACTCAAACCACTTTTGTTTGTGGTTTTGCTCAGTAGGACATTACGTATGCGACGTGTTAGCCACAACAACCTACTCAGGCCACATAAGTATTTGCATAACAGTTGGAATGAAATGGCGTCTCTCAATCCCAAAACGCAAATTTGCCAAAAAAAAATGTTTTTGGGGGTGGTAAAATGTAGGGCAAGCCAAAGTCGTAAAATGAAAGAACATTTCTGTGGAAATGCGTGATTTGTTTTGGGGGAAAACTCGCGTGCTTGTTTTTGTTTGTTACTGCATTTGTAGAAATTATGGTACGCGCGAAAAATACAAAAAAAGGAAAAAACAGCGCCCATTGAAAAATGCTTATCGTCTGGGGGAATTTTCTTGTTTTCCCGCTGAACAAACAAAAAATAATCGTTGCATGCTTCCAGGCTAAGACGGAAATTACTCGGGCTTAAAGGCTCATTCGGGATTTGTGGTGGCTGTTTTTTTTTTGGTGTTGTGGGTGTTGCGAGCGGGGTCCTTGCACAATAATTAAGGCCTTGCGATGGCCTTCTCTGCGGCACGCCAAGAACTGGGATTCCAAGACCAAGACCCCAGTCAATGCCTTGCGGCCATAAAACCAACGTCTGGGCGCCACAATGCCAAATCGATCAAACTTGCAGTCGGCCTGGCAGAAAGCGGCCATAAATATTGCCATTTAGCCAAAAACTTATAATTTTCCCAATCGCGCATAACTTTGCGTGCAATTTGCTATGCAACTAAGTTGGATCAGTAGGGTAATGGAGGAAGGCAGGAAAATTAAACCGATTTGCAAGACGCCCCAGTTTAGGGAAACATAGATGATAGGTGGCACAAAGTTTTTAAGCTATAAAGTTAAGCTTTTAAGTTTGAATTTTGCAGAAAAGTTTTTGAATTCATTCATATTTAGAATTTTGGAAGAACATTTTGCAGGAATGAAAAGAAATTTTATGGATTTTGTAGTGAAGTTTTCTGATAGAGAAGGCTTACTAAAGGTTAAAAGTTTATCAAACCAAAAAATATATATTTTTCTATGTGTAATAGAATTAGAATGCAAAAGGAGAGCAAAAAGCAATATTATCCTTTAAAGGCAGCCGCCCGTTTCTGGCAGGATTGCGATGGAAAAAGGGAAAATGGAATAGGGAAAGAAGATATGCGAAAATTGCATGTAAATTGCTTTGGGCAAAGCCGCTTTTCCACCAGACCACGCCTCTTTTTCCTCGATTTTCCATTTCTCCCCCTCCCGCCCCCTCTCTCTTTTTCCCCTTTTCCGGCGCATGTAGAGCACTTCCGTTGGCATAGCTTTTGTTAATACGACCACACACACTTGAGCTGCTATACTTGTATAGTTTGTAATTGCACACGTGTTTATACTTCAAATATTGACACATTGACACCAATATTTCACAGTGCAGTGTCTGTAGTGTCTGCAGGTCGTATGGCAGGAATGGAGGGAATGACAGGTGTCGGGACACTGGGACGTATTGAGGTTAACCCATGGATCGGCGCATTTGATTGGCATCTAGTTAAGTTGATGTCGCCGCCTCGATGCCAGATATACTCGTACCTTATACCATATGCCATATATATATATTCCGAAGCACAAACGAATTCAAATTGGTCTGTTGCTCATTCCGACTTTTATGGCGTTGGCAGTGGATTGATGATGGCTGCAGTGGTTTCGATTCAAATTTGTCCAAAATGAAATATGATAATTTACGCCATTTCCAAGGAAAATACCTTTAGATTTGCAGAAATTTAAAAGCTTTTAAAGTGTTTAGTCATAATTTTGCAAGTTGTTTCTTTCGGAGAAAATTCTAATAATTTAAAGTCAATTTTTGAACAAATAACTAAAGTAACCATATTAAAGTAACTCATACTTATACTTATTATCCCCTTGCCTGGTCATTAAATCCCTTTGGTGATTACAGAAAACAAAGGACTTTCCCCTTTGCCATTTAACTAAATTGTGAATTAAACTGGACAAAGACGCTGGACGGGCCAGTGTTGGCACTAGCAATTAGCGAAAGTTTTATAATTGGCTTATTAAATCGGAACAAAGACAAACTTCAGGTTCCATCAGTTTAGTCCGCGACATTTCCATGACAAAGTCAAAGTGCGATGTGGCAGAAAGTTGGCCATCTGTAAGTGTCGCTGTAACTAATTGAGGCGACAGCTCGGGGGCTTCGCCGGTTCCTCGGAATTTGCAATTATTCCTAGGGGTACGAAATGGGTAGAGTTTTCCCCTCCATTATATTCCATTGCACTTGAGCAATAAAAGTTTTTCGGGTTGGTAGTAGAAAAGGGGAGAGGGTGGAAAACATTTGTTGTTTGCCCTTGTCTGTTTTGGTTTGTCGCTTATTCTTGGGTTGTCAATGAACTTGATAATTGCATTGCATCGCTCTCGACAGACCCTTTATATGCCTTTGGGTCCTCCCCTGAGCCTCGTTTTCGGCGACTGTGTATGTAATTGAGTTGCCAACAAACTTGCCAACACTTCTGCGAAGCGCACAGAGGAACCCCAATAAATTGCACTTGCACACTGTGTGCCTGCCGTCGTAAATAACGCTTAAAAAGTGAAAAGTTTTTTAGCTCCGAAAACTTTTGCCATCCCACACACAGATATTGACGAAGGATTTGGCCAAACTAACAGCTAAAATAAAATGCTGCGAAGGGAATTGCTCTATGCATAAACCACGGCGACCATGAAATGTGACTTAAAAGAGGAAGTGCCAGAGTTGGCCATTCTTTTGGATTTTGAGACTTTTATCAAGGTCACGGATTTCTTGGTCTACTGTGTGTATTCTCTCTGGGGTAAAGTTCTGAAAACTCTTATTAAATTAAAATCTTTTTAACCTTTAAAGAAAATATTACACATATAGTTTATACCTATATCTATATTTAGTTTAGTTTAACTCTTAATTAAGTGTTTATTTGGCTCGTTAATCCAAACCCTTTTATTTACATTCATTTGACATTTTAATCTCGCTTTTAAACAAATCCCAATTGTTTCTAAATTGCAAAACCAAAGTTTCGCCCTTGTTTCGCGGATTTCCATGGCTATTAATAGCCCAGCAATAAGCAATATTAATCCCCTTTTATGTTCGCACTGAAATCAAATTATCCAGGACAAAGGACGGGGCTTGAACATTTTACGCGGGCTTTTCAACACTTCAAACGTGTCAAATTGAAGTGGGCGTGGGTGTACGTTCAAGAGCCTCTATTTGTCACATACAAAATGTATAGAGGGAGTATTAGGGGTGGTAAGGGGGAGTCTACAGAGTACAGAGTTGAAAACAAGTTGGCAAAAGATAGGAAAAAAGCGAAACTATTCTGTGGAAAAAGAGAAAAGGAAAGCGGAAATGCTAAAATTGGAGTTCTGAAACTGACTTAGATTGGATTGAGTCGCCATGAAAGTAGTTTCTGCCTCTGATTTGCATTGAAATAAAATAGAATAATGTAGATAGATATAATGCACGAGATTGACATTGATAAGAACCTAAATAAAGGATAATCTGCCAGAAACATGGTCACTCACATATGACTCCCAATCACAAGGCAAATCAAATATAAGTCACAAACCTCTACCTAGAAATAAAAACTTGAGCAAATTCTAAGTAATAATAATGAGAAAGTGAAATAATAAGGACTTTGTCATCGGGTGGCAAAGATAAGATATTATGGTGTATGTTAATACAGAACACAGGGAAACCCAACAGAAAGTTATCGTGTTGATTAGATTGGAAATTCCGTTGATTGTGTTTGATTGTGCCTCGCTCTTTTGTTTGTGTTTCTTCGGCGAGTGGGTGTACGATTTGGCATGACACACGACTTTGTTTTGTGAAATCGCTCCCTGCCCTAATTCATATTCCAAATGTTGTTCGCATGCATATTGGTTTTCAGTGATAATTGGCCATATCAACATCATGTGCCCGCTTAGCACAACCATTAAAAAGTGCGACTGAGATAATTGCCATGGCAAAACAAAGTAGTTAATGAAAACTTAAAAGTTAAATTTATAATCACAAAAAAAAAGAAGTTCGATTGAGATTATTTTAGCTTGTGGTTATCATAGAACTAACAAAACTTATTGTGCGAGAAGAAGAGAATAAATTATTTTCCATACTTAGCTCACCTCGCACTTGACTTGCGATTTCTTTGTGATCCATTTCTGTTGTTTTTTCCTTCTCGCCTATATCTATCTATATAGTATTTATAGATTTAGTGTTTTGTGTTATTTTCGACGCCCGTCTGTTTGTTATTAGCTTAATGTTTCTTTTTTGCTCTCCCGCAATTATGAGTTTTGCGTTTTTTTGCGGATGTGTGTACTTATTTGTGTCTCTGTTAACGGGGCGTATGAGTAACGCCAGCGATTTGTTTAGTTTTCACTACTTAAACAATGATATGGAAAATGGTTTTGAAATCATTACTGGATTATTGTTGATCTTGGCCGAGCAGCACACAATTATAATCAGCCTGATTGGTTTGGCTTGATGTTTTAATTGCAATTAATTACTGAAATCACAACCGAATGAGGTCAAAATGCCAATGTGTTGTTGGCCACGCGTTCAGGGTCAGGGTCTATTATATTCCTTTCAATTCCCTTCTTGTGCTCTTCTCCCCACATTGCGCCGACACTTGTCGGCTTTCCTCAATTTATCGCCCGTCACTCGCTGAGTTTTCACAGACTTGATATTTCAATAATTATGCAGCCTGACAGCCATTTCTCTTAAGGCCAGTAAATATACGTCTGGGGCGATGCAAATTGAAAGTTTTA